ATTGTATACTATGCAGAGAAATAAAATTTGTATTTGTAAACGTTTCGGTCCTGGTACCTTGTTCAAAATAAAACATCCTAAGCGTTTTCTTGTGTTTTTAACTACAATTTGTTGGTGTTACACACCAGGTTTTTGTCACATTCTTTACTATGATAATACGCTGCTATATATGATATTCTATGTAATTGTATTTGTGTATACCTGAATAAACTTACTTACCTCGCCTTTGCTCTTGAGATTAGTGTCAAATTATCTTGAAATTTGACGAGTTTCCCTCGTATGGCCTATCAGTGACTCGTTTTCTTCTCGCCAGTTATAGAAAATGAGGAAATGTAAACAATACGCAACCCAGCAAGTGTTGTGTTGGTGATGGGTGGTGTGTTGAGCAAAGCTTTCATATATTTGAGTCTGTGTAGCCCCAAGCTTTCGCAGAGATATGGTATGCGTGTTTTTTTTTTTTATAGTAGTTCTGGTGTTAAAAAAACAGTGATATCTAATCGTTTAGTCCCAGGTTTTGTGTATAAACATTAGGATAGGTCTTCATGGTGATAATCATTAATCAGGTTACTCCAGTCAACACTCGCTAAACCTTCCCTGAGTTCTTATATAGTCTACAAAATAAGAGTCTGGTATCTTAGGTGTAATGCGATAAATAAGACACATGCATCAAACACCTGGGTATCTTTACTTCCAGAGCGTTTTAACCAATCTTCAATCGAATGAAGAGACAACTTTCATACTGGGACAGACAGAAGTGGAGAGGTAATGTGATGGTGTTCAGTCCCTCAGACTTGAATGAAGGTTTTCTGCCCAAGACTGTTCAACTGCCTCCCACTATACATAAAGGGAATTATTACCAATAGACCCCTGGCTGTCTTCAATGAGCTGGAAAAACACCTAAAGTCAGTACCTGATCAACCGGGCTGTGAGGCTCATACGTTGGTTTACGTGGGACCAGCAGTAACAGCCTAGTTGATCAGGTCTGATTACGGACTGGGCCACGGGGGCGTTGATCCCCGGAAACCCCCCTCCAGGTATACTCCAGGAATCCCTTGGCTTAAATTAGACGCATGAGAGTGGAGACTTAAATATTGGACCCAGAGGTGAGGTGAGGTGAGGTGCAGCAGTTGGAAACGACATCACAGATGGTGTGTGGCTCAACCCTGGTTTCAGTAGGTAAGTCTAAATTCTTATGCCCCAGTGTTAGGCTAAGGGACTGAAGACCTTAAAATTACCTTTCCTCTCTTTCTGTCTAGTGTGAAAGTCGCCCCTGTATTCGACTAAAGAAGCCTGCTGAACAGGCGAAACGATTCAGCAATAGATACCCAGATGCTGCACAGGTATTTTATTCATCAACCTGTCAGTATTGTATGACATTAATACAATGATATTCAATGATTTTATTTAGCAGATTGTTCCACTCGGCCCACGGCATTAGTCTCTAGTAATAATTAGGTACATGGTACCAACAATATGGTAAAAGAAGCAAATGCAGTATAATGTCATCCTCCATTGAAGATGTTTCTCCCACGTAGTTGGTATTATCAAGTTACACACAGATGTGACTTTATAAACCACACCGTGTGGGTGAAAAGTTGTTAAATGATCTCATGTGCAACATGTATCGGCAAAAATACGAAACTGTTGTACATATGTCTTACGCATCTACTCGTTGGTATTGTATACCATTAATATAATAATCACATTATGCTACATTTGTGTCATTCATATTATTGTGTCTGTGTTATATACTATTATCTCTTCGTGATGCCTCTACAATACATTCTCGTAGCCAAGACTATCTTGCATAGGAATGTTTTTATATATAACTTTCACAAAACTGCACTTTTCCTTTCATGTCGTTTATAATGGTAGACGCAGAGCACAGTGTATTCTATAAAAACAAATAAACAAAAAATATATATGGACACATCTTCCGGTGTATGTCATACTTCTAAACTCCAACGTAGCCAACGCCGATTCAATTATGGCAATTTGTCATAAATTGTGTGAGAATACCGACGAGGTGTAAATGATAGAGGTTTAAGTTGCAGTAACTGTGCAACACGCTTTTCCAAATCAGATCATTCCTCGGTGAGCACGTTATAAAGCATTATTATATTACTGTTGATATAATCCAACACAGATAATAAATACTGGAGAAGATAGAAGTGGAGAATATGAGGTGATCAGTCAGATTTATCAAAGCTTAGGTTAGGCAAGGTTTGTCAGGAAACAGGACAAAAGTTTCCTGACGCGGGTCTTAGTCAAATGACCCGCCGTTGGAGCTTTTGGTCATCTGACCGAGGCCTTCCGCTGGCTCCCCTCAAGGGATGTTCCTTGACGCTGATGAGGGGCTCTAGATCTAGGGAATTGGATCTGTGCTCCGGTTCTTTGAATTGAGTCTGAATGACCTTCCATCCGCCTCCCCACAGACGCTGTATAATACTATGGGTTCAGCGCTCCCCCATGATTATAACAATAATAACTTCCGCTGGCTTACCAGTCCACCCCTTTAAAAATTACTGTCATAATTAAAACCAGTTATATCAAAGATTAGAAACTGAACACTTTTCAAGGTTGAGGACTGATCACCTTAAATTACCTCTCCACTTCTTCCACCGTCTCTGGCATTTTTTTTTCTTTTGAATTGAAAAAGCCACTGGATGGCGAAACGCCTTCATGAATGATACTCAGGTGTTACAAATGTGTCTTATTCGTGTTATATAGGCAGAAGAGTCAGGTACAGTGGCGAGTAGTAGTAGTGGTATTATCAGTATGCTAAAAGACATATACTTAACAACAGTATACTTTGTTGAGCAGTTGTATCGCCAAGGGTTTGGCCACGTGAAAGCTTCCTTAGTTCTGAGTAATTGTGTTGGCTGGCTTAATGAGCGAAGTTTGACATTTTCTTTTATATTTGTCACCTTTTATGTCTAATTTGTCTTACTTGAATTATACCTGGAGAGGGTTTCAGGGATCAGTGCCCCCACGGTCCGGTCTATGACCTGGCCTTCAGATCATCTCGTGCAATGGGTTTGTGAGTTCCTATGCTGAATGCATGAGTTCTCCAAATTATAGGTTCTGATCTCGTACTTGTATTTGTTGATACGAGTAGTTAAATTCTTGGTAGCTTCACATATGTGAAATTGTGTGCTATTGTTTACAGTATCCTACCATTAGACTAGAGGCATGAAATAACAACAGGCTGATGAATAAAACAAATGTGAGACACTTGGCTAGCTGGGTATTTCTCTCTAATAAAGATACCCCAAGTGCTGCATATGTCTAATTCATCAAGATCTTACCTGCTGAAAAATCTCTGTTGCCACTGAGAGCTTCATAGAGACGTCTAATAGCACCTCCAACATCAAAGCAGGAGTGTATATTATGATACGTTGAGGTTGAGATAAAACCTACGTGAGAGAAGCAGTAAGAGACCTCGACACGAGGCTCAGTGAGCATAAATATACAGCCGGATTGAGAATAATACTAATAGACGGGGAATACACCGAAGCATTAATGAATATCTTTTAAAGTGGAGCGAGGTTAAACTCATAATAAAATGAAGGAACCAAATAGCTATTGCAATATATGTGAGCAACACAGCTGTTCAAAACATCGGAAGCTTTAGCATGTTAGGTAAGACACATATGCAACAGTTAGGTATCTTTATTTTGAAACGTTTCGCCTACACAGTAGGCTTCTTCAGTCGAGTACAGAAAAGTTGATAGAAGCAGAAG